CCGAGTGCTGGCCGGGGCTGCCCGGGTTTCTTCTCGCCGCGCCGCGGGCCCCTCCTCGCGGAAGACGGAAGCCCCCTCAGCCCTCGCTTTCTCTTGCAGGGACCCTTCGAGGGAGCCCGGGCCCGAAAGGTATGGGCGGCGGCCCATGCGCCCTCACTCCCTGCGCTGGGGCCGCTTCCTGGGGGCCGGGAAGCGCCATCCTTCGTCCGAAGGGAGGCGTGGGGAGCTGCGTGAGGCCACGGTGTCCGCGGAGGGTTCGCCTCAGGGGCCAGATGCGTCCCAGCCTCGAGCCGGGACCCAGGGCGCCGTGAGGGGCCCACCGAGGCGCCTGCGGGTGTGGCCGTCGGGGGTCCGCCCGCCCTGCAGCTTCGTGCCTTTCTGGTTTCAGGTGACATGGGAAGCCAAGGCCCCAAAGGTAAACCCAGCATGGACGTTTCACCTCCCATATTAGTAGGGCTGATGGGTTTGAGCGCTCCGCAAGGGTCAGAAAGCCCACCTGGCACTCCAGAAAGGGACCTGACCACGGATGGGTCGGGTGCACAGGGAGGAAAAGGTTTCCAACTCCAGACCTCGGCTACGCCCGCGCCCTCTCCTTGGTCCAGGGGTCAGCAAACTACGGGAATCTCCAGAAGGTTCTGAGCCCCTCCCGGAGCCTCTGGCTCGGCAGGTGTGGATGGGATCAGGAGTCTGGGCTCGGTCAGCCCTGGTGATTTTGCAACAGAAGGAAACGAGACCCACACTGAGAACCACTCTCAGATGACAGGGCCGCCCCGCCCAGCTCCTGCTGGCTTCCCAAGGGTCCCCCAGCACGAAGTGGGTTCGCTCACCTAGTGCCCCTTCCTGGCCCCCTCCCCGCCCCCAGCCACCCGCACAGACCTTCCCCAGGGCCGTGGCCTGCACACCCCTCCTACACACGCTAGAGGTGGGGACCGATGGCAGGTGTCAGATAAAACACAGGACTCTTGGTGGCACTGGAATTGCTGATAACCAATAGTTTTCACTGTGTATATCCTCAAAATTTCATGAGTCATACTCAGGCTAAGAACATTTATTTTTTATTTGCAATTCAAACGTAACTGGTTGTCTGTGTTCCTATTTGCTCAAACTGGTGCACGTGCGCGCGCACACACACACCCAATCCCATCATGCCTCCCCTAGGGACCAGCCTTGTCCCTTGGCTGACCTCTCTCTTACCTTGCTCCCCCAGGAGATCGTGGGATCCCAGGGACCCCAGGTATGTATTCTGATGAGCTCCGGGGCTGCTGGCATGGCAGCTGCTTGACCTGGCTGCTGGCGTCTGGGAGGAAGACCGAGGCTGAGCTGCTCTCGTGTGTCCACAGGAATTCCCGGGCCCTCAGGCCACGCAGGTCCAGAAGGACCAAAGGGACAGAAGGGCAGCGTGGGTGAGAACTGCTCTTCCCGTTCTCTCATTCCTTCGGTCTTTCCTTGGCTCAGCCAACATTTATTGACGCCTGCCACGTGCCAGGCCCTGTGCGAGGCTCTGGGGAGACAGTGCACAACACAAAGGAACCCCTGCTGCGGTGGAGTGACCTCTGGGTGGGGGTGTGATAGTGAGGAACACAGCAGGTCGGGGTGACAGGTGGGGGGACTTGGGGGTGAGTGCCAGGGGCTTGATTTTAAGGAGGGAGGGGAGGTGCCCCTGGGAAGTGGCCGTCTGAGCCCAGGCTTGAAGGGAGAGCGGAAGCCGGGCCGACGTTCCGGTAG